GTATATGTATATGTATATGTATATCTATATGTATAAGTATATGTCGATATCTATATCTATATCTATATCGATATCTATATCTATATCAATATCAATATCTATATCGATATCTATATCTATATCTATATATATATCTATATATATATTATATATTACAATACAAACAATAACAATATAATATAATATAATACAATACAATACAATACAATACAATATATATATATATATATGTATATATATATATGTATATATATATATATACTCTTACCTCGGAAGTAGTCTATGGCGTCGGCTCGTGGGCCGTAGTATAGTGACTGACCCTCGCTCAGAATCATCAGGTAGTCGAACAGATCATATATATTACTTCGGGGCTGGTGGATACTGCACACCACAGTATATCCCTTATCACACAGCTTACGTATCGTACGCATAACCTTTAGCGCCGCGTAACTGTCCAGATTGGTGGTGGGTTCGTCTATAAATAGAACTGCCGGGGATATTAATAGCCCCAGAGCAATGCTTAGGCGCCGCGCCTCTCCGCCGCTGATGCCTCTCTTCAGGGGCGACCCCACCACAGTATGTTCGACCTGAGTATTGCACGATGCGATATGAGAGAGTTGGATGTATGAGAATAAATAGGATAAGTCCTGCATACGCTCTCATCCAGTAAGTTAGCTATATATACCATACAAACAGGGCTTCTATATACAATGGTCTTTGTTTAATACTATTACCGATGACAACGGAACTTCTGTTGGGAGTCGCAGTTGGTCTCGCTCCGTATCGCAGTGGCGTCAGCAAACCCAAATATGGGACAGTGCCAACTTTGGCAGAAGCACATATAGAGTGTGTTGGTTTTCTTTTAATTACTGTTTTGTGAAGACACCAACAGAATGCACGGCATGATGGCGCCCATATGGTTTACGCACTTAGTTTAGGAAAAGAATTATATCCGTAGTTTAGGAAATCGTCTATGTGCGTAATTTTGGAAATGGTTCATGTATGTATACGTACATAGATACACACACATACACACAAACACACCTTTGTCAGATTCAGTGTCTTCAATATCTTCGTAATCTGCTTAGCCGTGCCATTCTTAGACCCCCGCAGCGCCTGCCAGAAGCATAGCGTCTCACGAACAGTTAAGTTCGCTACAAAGCTGTCCTCCTGCGTTACGTACCCACACAGCTGCTGGTACTGACCATCCAGGGTCATACCACCGGCATTGGACTTGAGAAGGTCCACGTGAGGCGTATCGTACTGGTCTGGGTTGGTAAAGTGGGCCAGGATACGACCGGAAACCCGCCCGTGTTTCTGGCGTGCAGCGAGTATGTCTAGGAGACTGTGGGAGAGGAGGGAGAGGAAACAGAGCGGCTGTGATTAGTAATGATGGTGTACAGTGGGTACATAATCACCAAACCCAATCTTATAATGTAAGAGTACATACCAAAAATGCGATCTAATTCTCGGAGAGTGTACACTAAATCCGATCTGACCCTGTGAGAGTATATACTAAATCTGACCTGATTCTGTGAGAGTATATACCAAATTCGATCTGATCCGGGAGTGCACATGTGCAATATGCCGGGTAAGAGATGTAACAGAGCAAGTGCGTGAACTGTTGGGCCCTTCGCAAGCGACACCGACCACAGCGGTACACGCCTAGCTGCATTCAACTATCTGAAGTCTATTCTATTTATATCATCTTTCGCTACCTACTGAATGAGAACCTAGTGCAGTGTGATGCATACGAAGCGTAGGGAACAAGGACATTGATATCAGGGGTTACAGATCCCGAAGGTCTCAACCCGGTCACAACAAAGATAATACACAGAAGAACGCTCAGTACAAAGTTTAGCAAAACAGTACACAGAAGAAAGCTCGACACAACGTTTTACAAAACATACGTTGATTTCCCTGCTCCGGAAGGGCCCAGAATTGCCAGTAGTTTACCTCTCGGCAAATACCCACTAACGCCCTGTGAAAATGGATCGTTGCATACATAGTAGTGAGTCACACGATCAAAAGCAAGTATATCGTACAACACATGGGTCTCTGTATGGTAGAGTTCCGGTTGATACAATTTTGAAAGCTTGTGTTGGTGTCGTTTAGTGGTTGAGTTGAGTGTCCTGTGTTGATGCGATGTGATATATGCCTGTCACTAGCAAAAGTAATTTTCATTTTATCACCCTCATTCGTGGTTTATATCTATAATTTGAGATATGTAAGGAATAGGCTATCATAACTCGTAGGTAAACTATTGATTAATCTCAATTTAAATTGAATTAGCGTGGCCTGGAGGATCACTACTTGTTGCGTTCACTAAAACGTTTATCTTCTTTAGCAGTTTATTGCGTATAACGTTTATCTTCTTTGGTACTTTATTGAGCCAAAGAAGCTCGATAAAAAGCAATCTGAGAAGTAAAGTGTTTCGGGAGAGCCACATTTCGAATGTGTATGGGCGCACTCAGATCTCATTAGCGATCTCACACTTTCGAAGGGTGCGTATTTAAATTAGAAAGTGGTCTTGCGTGTTGTAGTCGACAAGTGACTCCCATTCTGCACGTCACACTGACGTAGAGTCCCTTTCGCATATAATGCTCATTCTGGTAGATATTTTATTACATATTCGCAGGTAGAACAGAACTAGAACACCACTACACTCAACTTGTAATATGAATATGTTCCAGCATTACAAAAAGGTACTGTACTCCATACTGATGCGTGCGCACACTTGCCCCAATGTCATCTGCATTTTCTGTTGTTCTAATGCAATCTATATGCTGTTAAAATAAGTTTAGCATAGGGTGATCATCTACCACTTCACACGCATCAGAAACACTTCACAATTCGAGGGCGATAGGAATATCACTACTCTCGTACATTCGCCCATCCACGAAGTGCCGCAAAATGCGCACTAGTATCATAGAAATACTCAAAATAGTATAGGACAGCAAGAACACCGAGCATACCTTTAACACCGTCTTGCCCTTTACTTCGTACTGTACATCATGGAATGTCAAATGCGACACCGGATTCCCGTTATCTTTCATGGGTATACACGTCGATTGTTCATCGCCCGCTGCACCCGCATCGTCTTTACCTAATAACCTTTTATCGTCTAATAAAGCCCTTTCACTGGCTGTGCAGAATATGTCTATGTCATCGGAAAGGTCTATGGCGCTCCCGTTGACATCAACAGCGCTATATTCTGACCGATTCTTATCGCCCATCATGACTCAATTGTACGGTGTTAATATTCGTATTATATGGATTTTTTCTACCGTATAGAACTGGTGTGTGTTTAGTTTGTATCCGTAATTTTGAAATTGACTGTATATCTACTGAAACCTGCAGTATATATTTAACACTGGTTATCCTCATATGCGTGGTAGCTCTTTACTTAGTGGTTATGAATATGACCGGAAACCCAATGTAAATTTTGGTGGTTCGATGTTCAGAGTGCCTCTAGTAGGGGATGGTGTAATCTATCCGTTCCCCTGTATGCATCTACAAGATGGGACTTTAATTCTCTCTAGTCTCCCTACTACAATTCTGACAGTGATGCAATACATGCGTCAGATATTTGATCGGTACATCTGCAAGAGATGAGACATAGTTGATCCTGCACAACCTATTTCAATTCTCTCATCAGTCTTCAGAGTAGTAATTATTGAATTAAATATTGAAGGAATATCATAAGGTTGAAAATTTGTTATTTCCCCATACTTCCTCAGTCATTACTCTCCTTCTTCTTGTTTCGATTGGTTTTCAGAAGTATCATTTTTATACACATCACGCAGAATTGCGAGAACACGCTCTTTAGTCTTTGCGAATGTGAAAACGTAATGTCGTTTGAAATATTTCCTCATATATTCTCATAGCCTTCTGAAAATTAAACAATATTCTAGTAAAAAAAGTTGTAAAAAACCCTTTTTCAGTAAAACTATATTACCAAGTAACATGAAATGCTTTACAGCAGGTGAAAACGCCGAAACAGTTTTATTTTTTTATTTTTTTAAAAACAAATGTGTAACTGTAAAGTAATAATTCCATGGGTTTTGGGAATTAGGACTATTCACTTTTTTCGGGAAAAAACTCATAATTTCGTCAGATCAGAAATCAAAAGTAGCTTCTTTTATTTTAATGTTTGCATCGAAAATTTACTCTGTGTAAAGTTAAAATTAGGATTTGGATTGTAAGATTTGTTTTTGTTGGTCTAAAATCAATCATCTCCAAATCCAATCTGGCAACATCTTTTGTATGATAAAAATTCACAGAGATCAAACCCAGATATTGTTTTAATAAAAAACAAAAAAAGTTATTTACATACAAGTAACAGAGCATTTTAGTTAATATCTTGATTTTTATTGGCTGAAATCTTGGTAAAAATAAAATTATAGTTAAAACATTTTAGTTGATATCTTAGTTTCCATTGGCTGAAATCTCGGTAAAAATAAAGTCTTAGTATAAATTTTCCAGTTGTGCCCGCCCATACAGACATTCCTGTGGTGTGATTATTGGACGACAACTGCTGTGCAAGTTTGAAACCCATGACGGAATACCTTAGTCATCGTTATTTTATATTTCTTTTGAGTTGCTTGGTGATTTTATTATTATTTAAATAGTCCGTTCACATAGCCTTCTACAAATTGAACACCGTTCACCGTTGTGGTATCTTATTTTAAAATGCTATGCAGTGTGCTCACTCTATGTGTGTGAGAGAGAGAGACAGACGGGGGGTCATAGGGATTTTGAACAATCTCAAAGGAAGTCGCCATAACTGTGGTACTGCGCTTATCTCCACTCCTCATTGAGTCCTCAGCCTCTTGTGGCGGCTCATTTGGAACAGTCCACACTCGACTGTCAGTGTCGGCCTGTCGGGTGCGGACACTACTACGATTTCCCCGTTACCATGACTTCAACCTGTGCGCATTCACAGAATCGTGCTAGAAACTCGCTGAATACACATACTTGTGCTGAAATTTGATATACATTTGCAATGCCAAAACGCTTACGCCTTCACATTATTTATGTGCCATTATTGTTTTATTTTCGTACAGTTTTGTTCTATATAAATACCTAAACAGGAACAATATCGATCGTCCAGACTGAACCGAATGATAAACAGAAAGGTAACTCAAAAGCAACGTCGTGGAATGAGTCCAACAGATTTTTTAAACTATATTCAGATATGTATTATTTAATCAGAGGTGCATGCAAAGCAGCCATTTTGTCAATTTAATTGGCAATACGATATTTCAGACCAGGCACACTATGTAAATAGATGTACACCTGCACTCTCTAGCTGTTACATAATAGCAGACGAATCTGGATTGCAGTGAAACATGCATACGGTAGAGGCGACTCAAGTTCTGGTTGATATTATACTGGAACCTCAAAATGCTTGAGCACAGGAACCTCAACATGCTTGAGCACAGCTCATAGTTAAAACAAGCGTTTATAAAACGCTTCAATTGAACCAACAAATCTGTCTCGTATACTTTTGACCTTAAGCATGATTGACTATACCGTCATTTCTCAATATAATCTCAGTATGATCACGCGTTGGGTTTATTAATTTAGTTTCAGTGGGCTTGTTTACAGGTCTTTATGCACCTTCTTACCCGGCGAGGACTTTGTTTCAAAGATTATCCGGCGCACAGCACCGGAATACTCTGATGTGGTGGTAACAGAGTTTGTCTCTAGATTGATATCGTATTCGTTTGAAGTCGCCTCCATATCGAGAACATTGAAATTGTCCTGTGTATATTGCATGCATTATACATGTTAGCTGGTGGGGCACTTCCTTGACGAGTTGCGTTTGGATTCTTCTTGATCTTCATCTACTCACGCGTACACATAGATATGCTTTTACGAGCATGGACATAAATATACGTCGACACGTACGTATATTCGATATTTGAGAGTACATATCCGCACAGGTTTTGAGTGGGTGCGTATATACAATAGTATAAGCGGTAATTGAAACTATTCAATACAAATAATTCTGAACACGTATGATTATATCCTTCGCTTTTGTACACATTCGAGGTATATTGCGGAATCCGAATTCTCAAATTAAATCACATTGTAAACATACCAACAGTTATGAATGCACATTCGAAACTGGTATGCGCACACTTTGACATATCACAATTACCAAACGATGCTTCTAAGTATGTAATAGCCTATCAATCAACATACATATACGTGCATACACGTATTAGCACGTGCATGTATCACCACAAAGATATATACATATGTACACGCCCACACATAACATCGGGCACGCCCACATGTTTGAACTCGTCACATAGGCGAACTACGAACAAGCTTTCAAAATACATACACATACACAGAAATATATATATATATATGTGTGTGTGTGTGTGTGTGTGTGTGTGTGT